GAAGCGGGTGCAATTGACACAAAAAACAGTGTCACAGGTTCATTCATTGTGGCAGATTCTCATTGACTTCTGCGATTTGCACTGGCTGAATGTTCCAAACCATCTTTGAGAGTCAACCCGTGCTAAGCATGTTGTGATTCCCACCCCCATTTAACTTGTTGGAAAGGCCCAGAAACTCCCTTGCCATGAGGCAGGACCAGTTGACCCACCTCTACCAGTTCTGTACAGTCCAGACCACAGTCTGCTACAAGCAAAAAGGTGTTGCATTTGCATCAATTGACCTACAGAGAAAATAACCTGAGACTGATTTGACACCAGTAACACCTCAGAGACCAACAAGATTTGGGGGGGTATCAACTTTTGAGAGTTAAAGCTCCCTTCGTCAGACTTATAAACAATCTGAGACTGATTTGAGTCAGATATATGACAAAGGGAGCTTTAACTCTTGAAAAGTACGCAGACGGAGAGTGATTTCAGCAAAACGTACTTTATTCAATCAGGAACAAGACAACTTTGGCCGGCTCGCAGGCCGGCTTATATCCTCCGAGAAACCGCCACCCAAAACACACCCCTACTTCCCTATAGGTTATTTACAGTGGCCAAGAGCCCCATAGGCTCTCGGCCGGGAACCTAGCCCCCTGATTGGAGTGGGCTAGGATCCGCATAGTCCATTGTCTCTTGGAGCGAAGCTCCACGTTTGTCTCTGGACTTGTCTGGACTTGTCTGAACCGGATACATTACAACTCTCAAAAGCTTATACCCCAAAAACCTTGCTCTAGAGTGCTTCTGGACTCAAATCTAGCTCTTCCACTCCAGACCAACATGGCTAAGCATCTGAAACTAACCTGAGACCGACACTGGTGAAAGTGGGTGAGTAAAATCAAATACGGAGCACCAGTATCATGTTCAGGGGTCTTGTTGTAGAAAAAGAGCTGCCGGAGCTCATTAGCATAACTCATTAGCATAACTTATTTGCATATGCCACGCCCCCTGACATCACCGGAAGTGACAGAAGGCCACACTCCCTGACATCACTGGAAGTGTGTCAGAAGGCCCGGCTACTTACCCTCCTGCTTCATCCTCATTCCCAAACGGAATGAGGATCGAAGCAGAGGGCGGGGTAAAGAAGGGGGCGGGGCTTCACCACGTGACCGCCCCGCCCCCTAGAGGTTCTCTTCCGGAGCTCCGTACCTGAGAGCTCCCCCCCGACTAGAGCCCTGATCATGTTTAATGGTAGTTCAGGTGTACCATCATAAAACATGAGATTTATATGTTTCTAGACAAAGAACATGGAAGTTCCTTGTAGCCATCACAGCTAATAGCCATTGATAGACCTGTCAAATTAACACAGATGATGAAGCTGCCCTACTCTGAATAAGACCATCAGCCCATGAAGATCAGTATTTTCTATTCAGATTGTCAGCAGCTCTCCAGGGGCTCAGGTGGAGGTCTTTCACATCTCCTGCTACCGGGTCCTTTTACCTGGATATGCTTCGGATTGACCTGAGACATCCTGCATGCAAATCAGAGGCTCTGCCACTGAGCCACACCCCCTCCCATATCATCCATACATCATCCGTGAATTTCTCTAATCCCCTTTAAAGGCGATCTAAGCCACGGGTGTCGAACTCATTTGCTATGAGGGCCGGATCTGACATAAATGAGACCTTGTTGGGCCGGGCCATGTGTGTCATAAAATGTAATGCCAGGTAGCAGAGATATAAACTTTATAAAAGGACACAAACACAAAGGGATTTTTTTTAACTTAAAATAAAAACACGCTTAAAACATTAGCACTCTTACAATGTTTTGTTTATTTAACAGTGTCTGATAACTGACACCTCTTGCTCTGAATTATTGTATCAAAATGTCTGTGCTGTTGCAATCTTGAGTATGCTGTTCAGGTGTGTATCTGTAAGCTGCAAACCTACGATGACGCAGCAGCGGCAGAACTGGAAGAAGAAGCAGAAGACAGCCAGTTCCACTGTGGGCCTGATAGAAGCCCTCTGGGGGCCTGATCCGGCCCCCTGGCCGCATGTTTGACATCCCTGATCTAAGCGAACAACCATCATCACCCTTTATAACAGGGAGTTCCACAAGTTAATTATGAAGACTGTATACCGTAAAATACTTTATTTTGTCTATCCTGAATCTATTTCCCAAACAAAAGCAACAGCCTTACAGGAGCCTTACAGGAGCTCTTGTTCCTCCAGTTCCAGTGTTTATTACATTCGTATCTAACCATGAAACTTGGGTGGCATATGTATTTCCATT